GTCTGTGTGTGAAATTCTATTCATAGAACCAATTTTAGATCTCTCTGTTTGTCTTTGATCGTAATGAGTTTTTGTATTATTATAGAGAAAAGTAAAAGCTTCAATTTTGTGTATTGATACTTTGAATAATATAATAGTAATATTGTTATAAAAACTGTTGTAATATCGAAGTTGCTGATTATTACATTATACTGGTAATTATATCACTCGATTTCTTTATCTCGGTTATTATATAAACAATATTTCTAAAAAAATATTTTGCGTTTATAATTTATCGCCGTTATATAATTAATATTATTATTTCTGATCCCTGCTTCAAAGCCTTTTCGATGCTGCGATCGGCGGTATCTCAGTCAATTTTTAAGATATAAGATACGTTGGTAAACTTAGATTATAACGCGGCCATCTCGCAAAACACGAACCAATCCTAGAACACAACGCAGTTGTTATAACTGCATAACTGCATATTTTGTAAGGACACGGCAGTGAGTGCGGATGGAGAGCAAGACGGGAAAAGGACGATGAAGAGTTAAGGCTCGCCGACATACAACGCCGTGCGTACAACGATCTCTGTCGTCTATAAAAAAGTAACCTCATAGTGCTCTAAGGCGCACGCTATCGCTGCACAATGCGCCCCATTCAAAAACCGGCATGCGCTATTAGTACATTATTTCTTGCTCTTAAATGCCGGTGTCGTAAACAAAAGCGCGAATTAGTGAAATAGTTATTATGAAAATGAATTTTTTCTCTTTTTTTTTTCCTTTTCTTTCTCATCAACGTAAGATTGATGCCAATAAAACCATCAATTGTTTTAAATATGGCTGTTTGTCTCTAGAATTCTGTTTTACTTTAAATGTAAAACATGTTAGCTCATTTACTATTAGAAGCAAGCAGTCACGTTTAAACAGGAAAAATTATATATTTTTTTGTTGCGAGCGAAGCGAGTACACAGTGAAGAATAATTATGAGTGAACTCGAAATTTCACTAGAAAGATAAAATCTAAAATTTTGAAGCTGCGCTGCGAAAGTGTCAAGCATTAATAGCGCATGTTCTTCCCGAAGGACGCACTGTGCAAAGAAATATAAATAAATATAAAAGAAAGATAAACATTATATTATTGTACATGTAATTAAAGTAATACAGAGGTGAATACGAAAAAGCAGTCGCCACTGCGTTATATATAAATGAATATATATATATATGATATTATATAGAAAAATATTGAATATATACTCTATACAAGTAAATATTGTACGTTTAATAGTGTTACGCGTTATATATATATATATATATACACACACACACACAGATATATATGTATATATATTACGTACACAATATATATTATATATTTAGACCATATTAGAGTATATTAGATATTAAGGTATGCATTAGGTACAACTAATATAAATAAACCACTACTACCAGTAGACGATGTAAAAGTGTAAGTTTAGTCATCGATCAATGGATGAATCCACGATGCAATTTTAACATCGCGGAACTTCAAATCTGCTGCATCGACTTTAGGAAAAACGGAGAGAAAGAGCAAAGAGACAGAGAGAAAGTTACAATTCAGCTGAGAGCTGTATGTTCACTACTCGTTTTGGTGCTTCTCCCTAGGTAAATATTACTTACTTTATATAGTCCTTCTCGTCGTCGGCGGAGAGAACAATAATCGTTAATCAATGTCGCTACTAAATAAATAGGCCGAGAGTGTCGAAATTCGTCGTCGAATTAAAAATCGCGAGTTGCCACAAACATTTCTCGAGATTTTCCTCTCGCTATGGAAAATGTCAAATTTTTCAGCTGATTTCCTTTCGATGTGCTAAATTGTATAAGACACCACGAAAACTTTCTTTTTTACATAAATATTTAATCGATTATTTAACAAAAATCTAATTTCGGTCAAATGATTAATAAAATTGAATATTTTATTGGAAGAGGTAAGCTGGCGTATATTCACAAATATTGATCAAACAACATTAACCGCGTAGATGATCGTAATTGTGAAATACATCCGAAAAGTTCTAGATCTGGATATATAAATGCTTATTTTTGCTATCTTAGAGCGAGGGCTAGAGCTCGTATACAAATAAATCGAAAAAATTAATATATACTTCGTGATATTCGTCGATTGATGTATCGTCGATAATTTAACTAGTGAGTAACGAAGCCGTGCCTGGAACTTTTTGGAATCGTCCCGGGAATTTGGATGAAAAATTAAGCTGCGAACTTTCTGACACTATCGGTCTTACGGCCAAGAGATCGTCGTGTCAGTTTTCTGCGACGTTCCCGAGTCTGACCTGTGTTATAGGAGAAACTAGAGCGAAAGCATGTCTGATCAAACCTGTCTCGTAAGGTCGAAGAGAGAACTTAGACGAATTCATTAAATATTAATATTCGTACCGCGATTGTTCCAATGATGAAACGTTAATCCATGCGGAAACATTGGTTATTTGATGGATATTCTTGGATATTTCTTCCTACGTTTCTTAATGAATTTCTCTCGATATCGAATAATTTGCGAGGAGTATGCTCTAGGTGCTTAAAACGGAGAAGCGACTCAATAACCGTAAATTCGAGCTTACAGGTGACTCTATATAGTTAATAGCGCGGTCATGTTTTTACCAATTTTAGAAATAAATCGCATTGTGCATTGACGAATTAGTCGGTGTCTTAGCCACGAAAATAGTTCCCGCGATAGTTCGACAGAGGAGTTTGACTCTTAACTGCGTTTTTCAGCGGAAAGTAATTCCTTTAGTCTACTTTCTGTAACACTAACACATGATGTGACGTTAATTATTTATGTAAATTAAAAGAAAAATCATTCGCAGGAGATTTAGAGTATTGTAGTTTTACAGGGAAACGCATTTAAGGGTTAAATGTACTCATTTAAATCCACCATGCTTTGTCAATCAAATTTGTCTGTTATGACAATGTTGAATTGATATATGTTAATCAAGGAATTAATATAAAATGGTAATTAACAGATATAGATTCTAAAACAAATCTGCTTCATGTTTAAATTTATTTAAATAATTGAATAAAATGGAGTAGTTACAATTGATTAGAATGTGAAGCATAGTGGATTCGAAAACGCGGATACCAAGAGAGATATTCAATAGATCATCGATTTTTATGTAGAGATGCACGATACTTGACATTACAAAAAATTTTCGGCGCATCCGTCGTATGCGAATAGAACGGAAATCGAGGTATAGTAAGCAACAAGTGAAATGAGGTCAATTCTATCGACAAATATGATTAAGCTTAGAATATACCTATGTGCGTATATCGATACCGATAGCGAATCCCGTTCGACTGAAACTTACCGCCTATGCGATAAGCGTGCATGCTGATCGACTTGAACGACTAACAATGACTAAAGTGAAGACTTGAGAGAGAGAAAAATTATTAGATAAATTGTTTTTTTATTTTTAAAAACATTATAATAATTTTTTTATTAATATAATATGTTAATAGCAGATTTATTTAAAAAATAATTCAACAATTTTTAAATAATGATAAAATAAAATTATGATAATCTTAAATTTTTTAAAATATGAAATTGTGATAAACGAAAACTTATTTGGATGTCACTGTTAGTCGAATTCAATCGTTCCGGTTATTCTTAAAAGTTTATAGTGTTTTATTAAAGCGGACAGAAACATGAAATACGAGCTTTCCGTTTTGGCATAAGTGTACGAAATTACTCGTAAGTGTTCATAACGTAATTAATGTAATTAGCACTTAGGGACGGAGTTGATT